TGTTTTTAGCATTTTGCGTTGATGCACGCAAATTAAAGTGCAGGCAAGCAGAAATTCAATCTCTTATTTGGTGATTGTGTTCTTTTTTCCGTCGATTTTCGGGTTTTTTTTTTTTTTTTTTCAAAAGTCCCTTTATTTTTGTACTCCGGCTGTTTTGAATTAAGGAAAGCGCACGTTTTATTATTTGTTTCAATTGCCTGGCTGACGAGCAGGATGAACGAACGAAGGAACGAACGCCTGGCTCAAGCAGGACGAACGTAATCAGCAAATGTGCCAACCGGCGAACAAATTTCAGGTTTTGGCCCCAAAAGCAAAATTAGTTCAATTTGTTCAAAATCAAGCTAACGTCTGTACGTATACGGATGTATGTCCTAATGTGCCAGACAAAAGTAGCAGACAAACCAAAAAAAATAAGATAAAATAACAAAAACAACAACAACAACAAAATAAAACATAGAAGATGCCGAGCAAGAGAAGCGACTAATTCTATTTAGCATTTGGCAGAATGACTATGACGTTGGCTAACTGGCATTATTTTTATTTTTGTTTTTTTCCATTTTGTACGTAGCTCTTGTTCGCAGCCGTGCAAATGAACTCCGGCTAATTACTCAATGCAAATTAAAATTCATGTCAAGCAGATTGGATTATCCTCACGCAACATTAAATGTCGCGTTTAGCCAGGCAGCAGGAAAGGTGTTTTTCCTTTTTGCCTTTGCTCTTTTAGTTCCGACGAGTTTCGCGCAAAATGGACAACTGGAATCAGCAGCGGAAAGGACAAAGGCGAGGCAAATGGAAGGTAACGAAGACAACGCTTCAGAGCGTTCAGAGGGTGGAAGCGCAGCGCAGAGAAATCTCTTTTGAAATGCTAATGTAAAAATTCTTTAAAGAAAATTACGCAATACGTTATTTTGGTTTATTTTGCATTAAAAGTCAATTTAGTGTTAAGGCACAACAACAACAAAAAAGGCAAAAAAAAAAAAACATGCGAACAGCAGAAAAAAAGGGCAGCTAAGCGGGCGCCCCCAAAAACAAAAGCAACAACAACAACACAGCGTAGCGCCACAAAAAGGAGCTGTAGAGCGTAAAGAGCGCAACAGGATTGGGCACGGATACAGACAGGGAGACGGAAACGAGCCAGGCTTTCCAGGCGTGAACCTGGACGCGAACCGGCCGGGCCATGACAACGCAACTAACTACAGTTTGTGCTCGACGTAAATAACAAACGACCGAAAGTTAGCATTTTTATTTTGCATTTTAAGTTGATTTGCCGGCTGCGTGCTGAGCGTAGTTTCAACGGCACTCAGTCCGTAGACCCAGAACAGAGCTGGCATTAAAAAAAAAACCTAAAAAAAAAAAAAACAGCCGAACACACCCACACGTTCACATATTCCACAGACGTGAGAGTGGGCAATGGTGTACGGTGGGCAAAATATGCCGTATACTGTTCAGTACCACTGTAAATTTTGGGCAAACAATTAGATTCACATATATCTTTTTCCTATCGTTAATTTATTTATATAATTTATTTTTTTCTCATTTTCACTTTGTTTTCAAAAGCCTTTGATAATATGTTACTTGAGCTTTTTGAAACTGCCTTATTCTTAAATTTCGTTCATGATGTTCGTTCAACCATTTGGGACAAATGGGATTATGAGCCTTAAACACTTCATTTCACAATGTGCAACAAAAACATTATTATGACTACTTTGGTGCTTTTCCTTTTTTTTTTTTTTTGGCGCGAAGAATTTATTTTTATTTTTACAATTTTTTTCAACATTTTCCACCATTGTGCATTTGTGTCCTTTTTTCGTCTTATGCTTTGCGTGGGAGCTGCTGCGGCACGCTGCTCTTTATCTATTAAAACGCCTTCCAATTTGCATATTTCTGCAGCTGTAACAGCTGTCAACGCTGGACAGTGATGATGGCAGCGACGGCAGCGGCCCCGACTGCGACGCCGGCTGAGCAGCGGCGTAGGACTTATTGTAACAGCAAACGAGAAGCAGCTCTTAAGATAATGTACTCCATCCACCTCCCTCACACGTATTCGCTGCTCAGCTGATGAGTGGGAGCATCTCGCGCAAATTAAAGCTCTCGTCTGCATTTTCGGGAGAGAACTTACAAAATAGATTAAAAAAAATTGAACAATTTGCAACAATCGTGTAGTCAATGTGCTCGACGAGAAGATATCCCATGATATGGGATAGTGTGTATTTAAAAATTTGCTAATATTTCTGCAGCGTGTTAAAAAATACAATGTATATCAATTTAACCTCGAAATAAAAACTCTAATGCATTTTTGATCAACTGCCATGCATTAGGACGCAGTTATCACATATTGCTGCGAATGCAGGGTATGAAGCAGCGCTTAACAATGCATTTGTCCAGGTCTATTAATGACCTATAATGCATAGCATATTAGCTGTGATGTCAAACAACAAGGAACAAAGATTGTATTGTCCATATGGCATTAACAATTAATTGCGTCATTTTATAGAAATTTCGTTAGGTTAACAAGTTAACAACAACATGCGCCAAAAATGTTTTGTGTTTGCATGGACATTGTGTTTGCGGAAGGGCATTTGTATAGTCGTAGCAGCGGCAACCACTTGACTATTTTATTTTATTGTGTTTCTCTGTTCGGCTTGTTACGCTGTCGCATTACCTACATCAAGTGTCACTTTAAAACGCATTTTTCTTTTCGTCCGGCCCCACAACCCAGCACGCCTCCCAAGTGCTGCTCAAAGCTGTCGGCACTGTGCTTATCTAAGGGCTATTGTTTGGTATGCCCGTCGCGGCGCTTGTAAACAATTCCATGCACATTAAGTTCCAATTAAGTAACATTCAAGTCGAATCGCTGCCCGTCGACGGCTTGTTGCCGTCGTCTATGGGTAAATTGCGGTTTGTTTGGTTTTCGGGTGGCAGCAGCAGCAGATTGCTTTGTTAATATTAATTTGTCATTAATTTCAACGACATCAGCTTACAAGCAGCTCGTTTAAAATGCATTGATAAGCCAAGTGGCCTGGCAGCCAGCTGTTTTCCTACACGCCCGACCAACACACGCACACACACACTCAGCCATCAGATAAGTTTAATGCGCTTTAAACTGTTTGGCTACGGCTTGGGGGGCTGTCTTTGTGAGTGCTATGCAGCAACTCCTTGGTCAAGTCCTTTTCAAAACTAAACACAACTGTTGCTTGCACACTTGTACGCTCAAAGGGTGCGAGCTTTTTAGTTGCGGCCTGACCGCGACCATTTTCTTCTTCTCGTCTTAACCTGTCTATCTAGCCATCAGTTAATGGCCAATCTTTTTTAATACCCTACAAGGCCGAGGATTCAACGGGTCTACTGCAGTAGTATGCATCTTTTTTGTCTTTACACCACTTAAAAGATTAGCAAATACAAAAAAAGCATATTTGAAAAACAATTTCACTCTTTTTATTTAAACATAAGTATATACGTGGTATTTGCTAGGAGAACCTGAGCCATAGAACTCTTGTCAGCCGTGTCTTGAGTGTTTGCTATTCGAATTTCTAGACTATCGGACTGCCAAAGGATAAGCTGTTGATGTGTTCTTGGAAGCAAGCCCTATTTTTGCCTGGCGTTGAACTATGCAAGAGTAAATACTCAACTGGAAAGGTCTCGACGGACGAAACTCTTTATTCAGCGCTACTTTGTACAACATTTACATGTAAACAGGCAGTCCAGATTCACAAAGCGTAAGAATGCATTTAGCTTATGTTGCCTAGCAGCTTCACAGCCATTCAGATAGCTAGTGAGTCACGCAATGCCAGCTTAGCATCAGTTGGCTACAAAATATTCTGGGCGTAGGCTTTGACCATTCTGGCTGGCAGCGCATAAAAGGCGCGTGTAGAGCGCTCTCAATGCAACCGCAGCAGTCAAAAGCTGAAAGGGACCACTCTGTTACCTTTGAATGGGTAAAAAAAAAAATAAAATAGAGAAAAAATAGAGGTGTTATCTGATTGCCATTTTAAACACAGCAGGCGGCGAGGGCATTTAAAAGCCGAGCAAAACAAATACGCGCACATAAAAAATTAAATCACATGCATAGACTATTCACTGGATACACTGGGTGGCTGCTCAAAGGGGCATTAAAAAGAATTGCACACAAAGTATTTGCAATTGCAAAGTGGCAAATAGATTCTAGCAATTGCAAATTCTGATATTCTCGGTATTTTCCAACCCCAAGTATCTTTCGTATATATATATATATATGTCATTTGAATAGTTGGTCAGCTAATGATGGAATCAACTGGACCACATGCTGACAATTTTGTATTTAAATTCAGAGCATTTCGTGCTGTAGTTTAAATTTGCAATTCGTTTATAGCTTCTATCATTAGGTAAGAGCATTACAGCTTTATCAATGCTCACATTCTCGCATTAGCCTCAGCTTCACTTCTTTTGCAATTGGTCTATCGCTTTGACCAACTCTGTTTGCTTTCACTCGGCGAGAGAGACGGGCTGAATGCTTTAAGCTGGTGCAGCGGTGCGTATGAGCAATGCAACTTGACTGAAGTCACACTAATTAAATGGCACTACACAACTTGGACTTACGACATGGATAATGACGCTCCTCTAGCGCCTTGCTGACACAGTGCACAGTCCAGCAGTATCGGTAATTAAAATCTAAAAAGGATACAGCTCTTCCTGTCTACCGTTGCAGCCGCGTGGCTCACACTCATTCTCCAAGTAGCCCGCTGGCACTCGGTACTATTTGCTTAATCTGTAGTTATCGCCAGCTGTGCGTTCCAAGTGTATTTGTGTGTGTGTGTGTGTGTGTGAGAGTGTGCCACAACTGAGAGCTCTTGTTAACGTTGGGGTAAGCAAATAATGAGGTGAGCCACACGAGCTTTTAATGAATGAAAGCAGTAATCGTTTTGAATCGCAGAGCATTTAAGCGTGTCAATGGAACGGGACATGGTACACAGGACAGTGGACATTAGGTAAATACGCTACCGAATAGCTATTAAGGTAAAACATTTGGACTCAATTTTCCACCGTAAATCTATATACATATATATTTCGATTGACAATTTGGTTTCACATGAATGGCGATAGCTGGGAGATGCCGAAACTGCCGGAGAACGGATATCCATAACTATAACCATAACCATAAGGACGACCATAATATCCGCTGCCCAATAGGCCACCGCCGTACGTACTGCCATAAGGATAATAAGGATTACGTATGCCAGCACCATATCCTCCATATCCACCATATCCACCGTAACCGCCATATCCACCGCCATATCCGCCATATCCTATGCCTCCAAGTCCGCCAATGGCACCCCCATAGCCGCCAATGCCACCCAATGCACCGCCATAGGCTCCATACCCGCTGCCATAGTACGACGGATAGCCTCCAAAGCCGATTTGTCTGGCAACGCGTGCTCCGCTTGCCGCCCCTGGCTGTGCCTCCGGCCTGGCCGCATCTTCCTCCTTCAGGGGCTGGCCAACTGTTGCGTCCAAGTAGCAGGCGACGATTAGCAGCGCATATAATCCAAATAAGGCGCAGTTCCGCATTGTGCCGGGACTCCTTAAGCTGTTTACCTAGCGAGCTGCTTGAATTTGTGTATAGCTGTTGTTATGTGGTGACCGTGTGGTTTGTGCGTTCGTGTGGTGCTGTGCAGCCAACTGTGACCCGGCCAGCGAATGTTTTGGCCATTTATAGCCTAAGAACTTTGCGCATAAAATAGAAACTTTTGTTTCGCTTCTTTTTTTGGTGTTCGTTTTTTTTTTGTTGTTGTTGTTGCTTGTTAGCGAAATGAGACGCTAATGTAAACGTCATAAAACAAACTATTTAAATATGCGATTGCGGCCAAAATGGAACAAAAAGCCAATTCATGTGGCCAGGCCAGCAGCTACCAGTTGCCGGCTATTGCCAACGCCATTGGCCCGCACGCTAAGTGGCGTTCATGAAATCGAATGGCTCACTGGATGTTTAAAGAGCAAAACATTTTACTTTGCGCCAGGTAACTTCAACTTTTGCTTGCCACTTGCTCCGTTCCCGTTCCTGTTAACCTTAACCGGCACTTGCGGTCAGGTAAGCTGAGCAAATGTGCTAATTTCATTTGAAGGTTAGTTATGCTATTGACCAGGCCAAGACCCCTTGGGCCGACACCGGGCGTACCGCACAAGGTTCGCCGCACGCACACGTCATAAGCTTCAACTTTTGGTGCGTAAGTGTAAATTGCTGTTTGCTGTTTGTTGTTTGTTGTTGTTGTTTGTTGGTGTCGGTGTTGCTGTTGTTGTTATTATTGCTGCTTTTGCTGTTGTTGCTGTTGTTTGCCTATTTGCCAGCTTGTTTGTTCGCAGGTTTGTTTTTGTTTGGCTAGCTGTTTGTTTTATGCGCGACCTGGCCATTAACAATGCTCGATGGCTCTATGCCTCACGTCACTTTGCGACTTGTCGCATGAGCCACGTTTTGTTTTTTTTCTTATTCCATAGCTTAAGCCAAATCTACAGGCAGCGCCATCGCATCAATTTTTATTCATTTATGCAGAATGATCGCCTCATCGCAGAGTTGTTGTGGTTGTTGTTGCTGTTTAATTTGCTTATTCAAATTTAAACGTTTTAAGCCAGTTCAAAAAGTGGGTCAATTAACGACGTCAACATCAATAGCTGCACATTTTGGCGTGTCAGCCTGGGCCAGAAATCTATCCTATCCAATTTCAGGCTAGTCGTCACCAGCGGTAAGGCATACAAGCCTGCTGCATAAATTAGCGTGGGGCCAAAACAAAAAGCAGTTAAAATTAAAATTGCATAAAAGTTGTGGCCTGGTCAAATGCACAGATAGAGACAGGAAAAGAGAGAGAGAAACATAGTGGAAGAGGGCGAGTGAATGAGAGGGGGGGAAAATGAGAGAGGAGACATAGCGGAAGAGAGGGGTAGAGAGCCAGAGCCAGAGAAAGCTCTAGCTAGATGGAAAGAGAGAGAGAGAGAGAGAGAGAGGGAGATCGAAAGAGATAGTAAGAGATAAAAAAAGAGAGGAAGAGGGAGGGAAAGATAGTAGAGAACGGTGAAACAATTATAGAACGAGAGATAGGGGAAGAGAGATAGGGAGAGAGAGAGATTAACATAAAAAGAGAGAGAGAGAGACAAAGAGGGCAACATAGAACGAGAGAGAAAGAGGGAGGGAGAGAGAAAGAATTAGAGAGAAATTAATAGTGAGAGGGGGTCAGAAAGAACTAAGAACATAAGTTAGAAACGATACGGGTTTGCAGATATATATATATATATATATATATATGTTAGGAATAGTTAAGCTGAGTTCGGTTAAAATATTTTAAATAACAGAACAGTATTCCATATAAAAACTCAACTGCGTGTTTCTATGCAACCAACTGATATAGTAGCTCGTAAGATTTTGTTCTTGTGTAAGATTAGGTTGAAAAACAAAAGGTAGGCGTTATTTCTGTTTTAAAAGAGTTTAGGAAATAACTTTTTGTTAGATATATTAAGGAGAGTATCAGGATAACTGAAACAAGCAGGCTAGAGACTTGGAATCTTGAATTCCTCTAGAAGGTCAAGTTTGCTTTTCATCCTTGTTAATTTGTCTTGATTCTATGAAAACTCGATATCGGAATCTGGGTTTGAGAACAAGTATCTCAGCAAAAATTCACTTATTGGTTGAAATCCTGATTGACAGCATTTCTCGGAACAAGTATCTCGTATAGAATACACAGATCCAGAATACTTCGTTTCTCCCCAAAATTGTGTTTTGGGGACTCTCGACTAGAGAATTCTTACTTATTTTATTAAATTGTTAAAAATGTATATTTTGAACAGAAACATGAGCGTTGCCCAGTAAAGACATTTAAATGGCCGGCTGGCAGCCAGTTGAGCAGCCACTTGACCAGCTGCCCTTGGTGTATTGAGAGGGCAACTGAGCGGACTTGTCTGGTTGCCTAATAAGTTTCCGTTATTATTATAGAGCAAGGGGCTATTGTTGTTGCTGTTGTTTACGCTTAGCTAGACAGTTAATACCAAATGCTCTGCTCGGAGTATTCATTTCATTTGGGAGTAAGGGCAATGTTTATGCCTGGCCAAAAGTTTACGCAGTTTCAGCCAAACCACTTCTAGTTTTATGGTCCTGCTATCGCTTAGCCAAAGTGTTGGCGAATTCATATGAATTGGCTTGGCCATGATGCTTAGTTCCTTTGGAAGCAGCTCCAACTTTCTGGCAATTAGACCTTGGCAAAGAAGCCGCTGCTCGATGCCGTTCATGTAGTAAAACTAAAGTTTTGCAACAAAAATGAGTAAATTAAATTTCTGCTTGATTTAAAGTAGATGCTGGCGGAGTTTAACTAATTCACCCGATTGTTAAGTCGATTGACGGCTAAGCCTAAACCTATTTGCGGCAATTACTCGGGCACCAAGTCTTTTGTGCCAAAATTCGCTTGAGGCGCTTTATACAAAATAAAATAAATATATAAATGCTGCTATTTATAACAAAGAAATGAATTGCACCTTATCTCAATTGCCAGCCAGGCATTTTGGTCTCAAATTGCCACCCCCACGTTTCTAGTGGGCGTTTGTCGATAAAGATTAAAGGCTGACTGTAAAATGTCGCTTTTGACAAGCGGATTTTATTGTTAAAAAATTAACTCGGCTTTAAATTTACGCCTTTTGTTATCCCTTGACCTTAGCGTGGTCGACACGCACACAAACACGCACACACACACAAGTATTCGGCCCAGCCCACATTTATAAAAGTTTCTTTCAGCCTCTATGTGCGCTGGTCGGGCATAAAGGAAAAAATGTCTTTAGATTGAAGCTATGGCTCGGCATTTCATTGCATACCCTTACAGATGCCGATGCGATGCTTTAAGAAACATTTTCTGAAAGTTTTCAAAGAACAAATGTTTGATATGCCGTTAAAAAGGATGTTCAAAAAAATTGTTTATATATTCTTGAGCGACATTCAAAAGTTGATAACAAACAAGACTCTATATGTAAATAGCTGGCCAGGGGCGTTAGAGTGTGAAAGTATCTTGACTTTCTTGCCTCGCCATGTCATATCTTATCGAGGGCGTGTCTCAATAAATCTACAGCACCTCTGTACAATATTTGGGCTGTATCCATCCATCCAAGGGACCCAACAGCTGGCAGAAGAACTGGGAGCAGCAGCATCAGCCAAAAGCCGTTCTAACTGATTATCCATGTTGTCCGAGAGGAGCAGCGGCAGCAGCTGATTGATTTGTTATTGAAAATATTAGGCCTGCTTGGAAACTGGGATCGATTTCGGCATGGTGTTGGTGGGGGGCGTGGCTGAAACGTGCTGTTGGATACGCTTGAAACTTTTATAACTTTATGAGGGCGCTGTAATTTGATATCGCAAAGTTTTTTATTGCCTTTTATAGGCTTATAATTTGGCCGCGATGCTGTTGCTGTTGCTGTTGTTGTGAGCTATTGCTGGCATTGTTGTGGCAGCAAGAGCTGCCTGGGTTGGCGGGCCCACAGGGTGTATGCTTGTTGTGGCAGCTTTTTGTTTACACGTTATTTATGGCTTATAAATACGAGTACGTCTGTTCGTAAGCATGTATCATTTACGTTTTGAGGGGCACTCGGGGGCTCGGCTTTGGGAAATTGTAAACAACTTACATGTGGCCTCTGCGCGCACGAAATCTCTTAATGAGCATTCGAATTGGCATAATGCTGACAATGAAATTGCGTATACGTATAATTGGATTAGTGGTCTGTGTACTTAGCTTATTGTTGCGATATTGTTGTTGTTGCTGCTGCTGCTTCGACGATATAATTAGCAGCGAGCGAGTCCCAGAACAGGTTAGTTTTGTCATGCGGCAGGCTTACTGTTTATTCTGGCAACAGAACAACAATTGAGGCAGCAGCATGAGCCGGCGGCTCTTTAAGGGGATTTTTCTTGGCCATTTGTTAATGCTCAGGAAATTTAATTGCTCGAAAGGGTCAGCGTCTCGTTAAGAATTAACGGGCATGCCGCTGCTTCTCCCTATATAAAGAGTCAAGATGAGTGTTTGCCACATTTTAGTAGACTCTGTGCCCCACAGCGAAGGGCAATGCGTGTGCTCCATTTATATCTAATAGTGCTAAGTGCTCTGTTGCCCATGCTGGGTGCAAGCAGCACCAGAGACGGCCACCCAGCAGCGGAAATGAAGCAACTGTTGTTGGCGGATGTAAATCAGGCAACGGATCAGCAGGAGATGCCGGCTGTGCGCTCGGTCAGGCAGCTAGGCAACGCCCGGCGTTTTGGCGGCGGCAGATTTGGCGGGGGCGGACTACGCCGTTTTGGAGGCGGCGGCTTACCTTTTGGCGGCGGCGGAGGACGATTCGGTGGCGGCAGGCGGCGCTTTGCCAATCCTGGTTTCTATCCGCAACCATTTGGATTTTTTGGCTAAATTATAAAATTTTAATGTACATATGCTATAAGATCAAAAGTGCTTAGCAATAAACGTATCCAACTTTTAATTAAGCAAATACGAAACTTGTTTTTGCTTAAGCAGCGTCTCTTAAATTGTTATAAATACTTGTAAGTGGCCCTGGCAAAGATTATTGCTTTCAGCGCAACGACTAAGCCATCCCATAAGATGCGCTCTTTCATGTTTCTGCGCCTGACGTTAAGTGTGCTGCTATTTGGCTTTGTTCTGGAAGCAGCAGCG